ATCAAAAGAAGCCCACAGAGCATCAGGCTTAATTTCTCAGAGACTTCGAGCACAGACTCAGAGACCTCAGGGAAATCTGCTTCTCTCACCTCACACAGGTCTGTTTGAAAAATGCAAATCACGAGGAAACAGAACCTTTTTTGTTTCTCACTTTTTATTCAGTGCAGTAACACCCACTAAATGCCATATAGTCTTCTATGTTTGATTTTTGGTGTTTTTCTCTTCATACTAGCTCTGCCTCAATCCATATAGTGTGTGTTTCTACTCAATTTTAAGACATACAATTATGCAAATATTAGTAATGCGTATACATACGTTCACATTGATCACTGTTACCCATAGGAAACAATTTAATGCATATACCCTGACTTCTCCTGCCTTCCAGGTGATGTTGTTAGTTAAAACCTAGGAAAAATCTTCAAGAAACCACTTTAAAATATGTTTTAAGCTCTCCTCCCACCAATCTTGAATCATAGCAGTGTCACAAGGAAGCCTCCAAAAACCTAACTCATTGTATAATAACAAGCAGTGGTGTTAGTATAAGGAAACATTTTCTGCAATGACTTGAATGCACTTAATGTTCTCCAACAGAATAATCAAGCCCAGTTTAATAGCACAAATAGATTTAACTACATCCACAAACATGAAGAGGTTGCTATGAAATGTAGATTTTGAAATGGTTACTATACCAGAACTCGACTGGCTCTCAGATGGCAGATGGCAAACTGATGTGAAATGATGTGGATCAGATATTAAAAGAGAAAAAATGAGCTGAATGCAAGAGATAGAAGAAAGAGATTGATTATTAAATGCTACAGAAAAGAAGTCATCCATCAGTTTTTTCCAGACTGAAAACCCTTACAGAAAGGAAGGAAACAGATAATAGCTCTTCAGAAAAACACTCACCCACCTCCCCTTCTCCTTATACACCACCACTCACAACAATCAAACACACAGTGACAGAGCAGACTCTGAGCTGAAACTGGTGGAACTACACCAATTTACTCCAGCTAAGGATTTGGCCCACTGAGTTAATCACTCTTACCAAAAGAAAATACAAATCCTAAAAATAAATCATTACTAATAATGTGTCATCCAGCTTCCCTATTATGTCTCTTTCCAAAAATGTCACCTTTTCCCCAATACAATGAAGAGCTTTCACAAGCTGCAGCACTCTTTAACAGCACACCTGACAGAGAGAAGAGCACACTGTATAATTATTGCAAACAAATGCCTTTCTCTCACTTTCCCTCTCTTTGGAAGCACACGCAACACGTTCAAAAAGTCCCCAAAGTTAAGTTCTTAACAGCAATAAATGTTTTCCTTTCTTTTGTTGTTGTTGTTGTACAAGAGAGGACTCACTTTTCAGAACAGTATGTGACATGAGTTGAGTCTAGTTTGCAGTCAGTCAGTTAGCAGAAAACATACATTACGTAGCTGCCAGAACTGAAAGCTTGTATTTAATTTGTCAAAGCTTTCAACTTCTCTGCTGAGATGTACCTCTTTTTGATGGCCAAATATCTCTGATACTTCATTTTGAAAAGAAACCCAGGTGGTTTTTCTCCCACTCCCCCCAAATGCACATAAAAGCTTTCCTCTCTCTTCTCTCCTGCCGCCTACACGAGGTGAGTCTGACTCCACAACGCAGACAGCAAACACGGGCACCTTCTCCTACTCCTAGTGCTGCTGTTTTCTCCCTGCCTTCCTCCCCCACGCCAGCCGGAGGGGGGCAGGCGGCAGGGGAAGGAAGGAGGAACAGCACCCGGAGACAGGACAACCTGGCACCTGGGAAAGGGTGAGATCACCTCACATGCCTGGCAGAGGAGGGAACAGGCCACGGGAGGACTTGGCAGAGGTGGGGGCACCAGGGTGGTCGGGCAATTGCACTACCATGCCATGGGGCACCCAGTGAAAGGAAGCTGGCTGGGGGCCAGGACGCTGGGGGGCCGATGGGGAGAGAAGGGTCCTACACACAGCTTGGTCTCCAGTGCATGGGGAGTGGGTTGGTGGGTACGTGAGAGGTGGCAGCAGAGGCAAAATGTGAAGGCACTTCAGAGGCTCATGCACAGCAGTCAAAGTGGAAAAGTCAAAACGTGGTCTGCTTTCCTCTCCCTACATCCACGCCAAGTTTAGCTCCAGCTGTAGGAATTTTTCTTCTGTGGTGCTAGCATAAACATTTCAGTATAATTCACGTTTTTAATCTGACATGCAACTGATCTCCCAACACAGTGCAGTCTGAGCACTGGCATATCAGCAAGGCAGGATGAGGTTCAGCTGAAAGGGCTCAGGGTTGCAGACACTTCACGCCGCCCCAGGGCACACTCGCAGCCTTTACCTTGCAAATCATTTCCAGCACATCCCGTGTGGTGTCCCCAGGCCGGATGACTGTCAGAGCAGGCTGGTTGTTTGGCAGGCAGAACCAAGACGGCGTAAAATATTCGTGAACCCAAATATCACAGTCGGGATTGTGCTGATGGACACTGCTCAGCGCTACTTCTTTTTCCCTCTAAACAGACAAAATCCATTATGACTCTACCAGCCAGATACAATCTCCCACTTCATCAATAACAAGTGTAAGGAACATTATATGCTTTAGCAAGAAGCTCTCTTTATAGAGAGGACGTTTTATTCATAAGCTTAGACTGAAGGCTTGTCTGGACAGGAAACTTAGCAGTTTTACCCGAGCAGTATAAAGTGTGCTTTCCCATGCCACCCACACAGCTACACTTGTGCAATGCAGTTTTCCTGGGATTTCACCCTGTGGCTATTGGGAATGCTAGAAATGCAACAAAAAAATAATAGTGATAAAAAGAGACTCAAAATTGTGTTCCTGGGTAAACCAATCCAAGTCCAAGAAAACTGCTGTAGATGCTACAGTTCCTATACCTAGAAATGGCAAAATAGCAGCTCTTAGCATTTATTTAGAATTTCCTGTCTTATGCATCCAAGTTGCACTCCAAGTTATAAATCCCCAGGAAGCAACGGGGCTGCAGAATCCCTGTTTGCTGCAGGTGGCCTCATGCAGCTAAACTCATATGCACTACATGAAGAATGTGCCTCTTAGCACTGTCTTAATGCTGTTTCATAGCTGACTTTCTCTGGGGAAAGAGAAAGCAGTGGTAATTACGTCTGCAAATGCAGAAGCTCACAGAAACCCATGAGAACAAAACAGAGAAAGCCCTGTGCTTTATAGTTGCACCAACCCTAAATTATGAAAACCCCATATGGCTGCCACGAGGAGCCATTTTCCAGTATCATTGGCCTCCAGGTCCTCCTGTGGGCAGGCACTTCCCTGGTGTGCAGTGCTAACACCTCTCTGGGTCTGGCACCTCCAGCTGCACTTTGGATGCCACACACAGTGAGCCCTTTTGGCCATGGACAACCAGCTCAAACGCTCCCAGGGGGGCTACAAGACCTACAGCACACAGAAAGCCCTCTCCTCTTCCAGGGGCTCCACATCTCCTCTAGTAACCCACAGTCCTCAGTGCATTTAGGCTGGTTGCAAATGCGGGGAAGGAGGCAGCAGGAGAGCTGGTGTTTTACCTTGCCATCCGGGACCGAATCGTCAAAGATTCCTTCGAGAGATTTCTTTACTGAATCCACTCCTTCACCAAACACCTGAGGAAGGACAGAGCGACTCTGCTTTAAAACATGAACACCCCTCTGCACCATCTGCAGCACACGCTAAGAGGAGAACAGTATCTAACATCTAGCACAGAAATCAAACTCAAAAACATTCCTCTGAAAACACAAAAAAAGGAAAGTATCAGCTTGTCAAAAGGGAAGGGGGGTGGAAGACAAGCTGGTGATGGGGCACCACACTGAAAAATTAAAAGGTTAGAGGCCAGTTCTTCTTAGTGGTCTGTCACTAACTTACTTGGTAGAGATGGACAAATTTTATCTTCTTTTGTGCTCAGTTTCCCCACCTGCAAAGGGGAGGAACTGAATGCTTCTCAACATCTGGTAAGGCTGAGTAATCAGAAGAAGGGCTCCACTTCTGGCTGTTTTTGTCATAAAAACAACTTCCAAAAAGTACTTAGCAAACATTTAAGTACCACAAGTAAGTGTAACCCTTCTATAATTAAATAAAAGCTGGTAACCCAGCATCAGCCAGAGAGCCAAAATCAACAGGACTCCATTTAGGAGGAATGGCAAAATGAGAATATTTACAGGATCTACCCCAAACCAGCACAGGACTGCATCAGATGGGCAAACAGGGTTGTTACTGCAGCAGAAGCTTATAATTAAGGCTGAAAAGCTCTGCATCAGCACAGCTTTATGATCAAGTTACTGGTTTTGGCTACAAACTACTCTGTACCTATAATAAAGCAGGCACAATGCAGGATAGGAGAAGGTCACTGTCCTCTAGGGATTTACAGGTTATTGCTGCAACTTGGCAATACTGGGCAGCTACTACATACAAGCAAGGGAAGTGTGTCCAGGTGTTACATTTAGACATTCAGCTATTTTCTCAAAACTTTACTTTTTTCTTCAGCTCTCTCTGACTTTTCTCCAACAGGGAACACAATCCATTTTCATGCCTGTGCTTATTGAGGAGTGAGGGGGTTAGGGGCAAGGGGAGGAAGCGTGAAGAATGCATTTATTCCCACTCAAAGGAAAAAAAAAGGGTGAGTTCAGGAAAACAAAAACAGGTCTAAAGAGACAGACTGGGCAGAATCCTAGCTCAGAAGAAGGGATTGTGCTTGACTTGGGGAAAATAAGTACAAAGCAACAGGGATGTCACAGCACCAGCAAAAAGAATTTGGAATGTGTTCACAGAAGCAAATGCTGCTTCCTAGCAAAACCCTGAGTTTTTGCTTAGCCACTAAACATTAACTTGTTTTTAATAAGACATGAAAAGTTCAACTAAACAATTTTTCAGTATTCATCCTTAGCTAAACAAAACAAACACCCACTGCTCCTTTAACAGAAGGAAGAAGAAATCACAGGGCACAGAACAACCTGTGTCCCAAGCCTTTATCCTCTCAAAAAGTGAAGAAAGAGAAAGAAAATAAAAGCCTACGTTTCCTGCAATTAGATGAGGTATGGCTCTCCAAAACTGAAAGCTATAATTAGGGATGTTTTGAAAGAACAACAGGGAAGCACCTTCCTACCACACTGAAACATGTTTTCTAGAGAAAGATCTGGGCACTGACTAGATACAAACATTTCAGCTTTTGCTTTTTTAAAAATCTAAAGCAAAATAGGGACTGTCCCTACTAAATGCAAAGCCTCTTGTTATTTTACTTTTCCACAACATCAGCTACATTTAAAATAGGCTACAAACTCATAATTTTAATTTAAAGAAAGAAAGAAGGCTGTATCTTTTTTTTTTTCCCTTGGCTGTATCTTTTTTTTTCCCTTCAAAAGTTTTCTCTCTTTTACATTGCTGCTTTGTTGCTCCTGAGGTTAGGGAAAGTACCTCCAGCAAAAGCAGAAGCAGCAGAAATGCAACAACAGTAGAAATGCAACCAATTCAGCTAAAGAAGGTGTAAATTCCAAACCTTCTTAGATAGGAGCTGCTGTATACTTACCTGTAATTACAGTCACTGATTTTTGAAGAGGATGTGGAATGAGATGACTGTATGTTGCAAAAGATGAAAGAGGCAAGGTTAAAGTTGGATATGTAAGTGCTTGATGCAAGCGACTCTGTGTGAGCTGCATTCTGCACAGTAACAAATCGGCCTTGAAAAGTACAGTATCACAAACTTCCACACACTTACCTGATTAATGCTTGGCCTCCCTTGCTTTTTCTTCGAGGTAGTATCCAGCCCCCAAAGAGAAGAAAACCTGCTTCTCCGCTTACTGGCAGATCTGGACATGGCCTGCGTCCTTCTCCTCACTCCGGACTCCCCCGTGCGAGCCGCCACCTGTCAATGCCACACGGCTTTAAACCAAAGGTCGCAGCATCCCACTGCACCGTGGCTTACATAATCTAACAAACAGAGGAGTCTGCTTTGGAAAAAAAGGCAAATACCATGGCAACAACGTGTACTCACAACAGGGACAATGGTGATGCCACCAGGCTACCTCCTTCTCACTGCAATTTGACTCACTTTTTCCAACATCAAATAGCAAACATTAAATGGACAGTACAAGCCCCCTCTCTTTTCTTTGTCATGTAATCTGAGATATTTTGAAGCAGCCTAATCATCACAGAGCAAAGCCTCAACATCACTGAAGGGCTTGGGGATTTTTCTTTCCTTAACAAGGTTTCAAAGCTGGACACACGAAACCTGAGATTTCAAAACTTATCTGCTGCTTCTGAGAAGTCTGGTCTTTTTGCTTTTCCCTGTGGAACCCCTCTGGGCATCCTGGAACTGACTCACAACTGCTACAAGGCCAGATAAAGGCTTGCAGATAGGTCAAGGTATTTAAAACCTGAACTTCCTTAAAGTTAGTAACATCTGAAGGAGGAGCAAAACACAGGAAGAAAAAGAGTGAGCTGAAACTTTGATTAGAGCAGTGTTAGCTGCTTAGCTACTTGAAAAATGGCCTGTGGCAACCCCTTTAGAGCTTCAAGATACTTGTGCCTTTACTAAGACCAAATATTTGGGGAGCATTTCCCAAATGATGAAGCTCTGGTAGAAATTAGCGTGCCATTAGTCACAGGTGAAGTGTTTAGGCCAAAGTTTAAGCAGATTTCCCCTGTGGAGGTGGCCTCAGGAGAGCGAGCTCCTCTTCTGTGAACAAGGGAGTGGTTGGGGACGGCAGGTACGAACGGGAGCGCACGGCGAAGCTCGACAGACAGACAGATCGACCCACCCACCCTGCCGACTTGGCCATGCGCTTCCTGGAGCACCTTTGTACTGGGTTCCCACAGTCGAAACTACCAAAATGTGACTGTCGTTTGGCAGCCCCAGCAGGAACACCCAACTCTGAGCAATGCCCCAAGCTACGGAGCTGAGAAACTGGTTGTTTGGGTGCAGCAGAGACAGAACCCGTCCCAGGACAGGTAGAACAGAAGGCTGGCTGTGCACCCAGGGAACCGCCGCTGCCTGAGTAAAGGCGACTCTTCCTGGGAAACATCCAGAAGTCAAGGAAAAGAAGAACTTAAACACTACTGCATGCACCTCCATTTCCACAGCCTGGATGTGCGAGGCGTTTCGTAGCTGTACCTGGGCTGTTTGGGCAGAGCTTCCTGGAAGACTTAGCACCTCCGCTGACTAATGTACTGAGGAACATCTTCAGGATAGCTAGGGATGTGCCATGCTATCACCATGCAGCACTCAGCTCAAGGCTGAGCCTCCCTGCACCATCTCCGTGCTAGTGAGGGTAAAGGAGGACATGAGTTTGCTTAAAGGAGAAGAAAGCATGTGTCTTTTCCAGCACAACATATTCAAAATATTTTTTTTTTTTTTAATTCATTTGGCTCTCAAGAGACACCACCATGAAGAGGCAGACTGTTTTTCAGGCTAACACTCACTGCTTTGCTAGATGCAAAAAAATAAGCATAAATGCAAATTACAGCCCGCCAGTTAAAAAAAATATATAAATCCACCAGCAATTATCAGGATGATGACGCTAATCTTTTCATCTGTAAAAGAATAAAAACGCCTCTGACTGAATTACAGCTCTGGATTCAACTGAAGGGTACAGCTGACATCTACAAGACAACAGTGGAGCTCAGCTATTTCTGTGAAGCTCCAGGAGTCCAAGCTGAAACTACAGGAACTTGATTTCAATTCATTAAAAAGCCACCACTCTGCAATACATTTCCCTGTATTTTTAAGAGCTGGGTTGTTACATTATGTAAACTTAAACAACCATTTTAAACATTATTTGCCACAGCATAAGTAGCAGAGAGGAACACATCCCCTTCTCTTGTAGAACATCAGGTGTTGACCACCGGACACCGGACATTACACTAATTGGTCAGTAGTTTCATCCACAGGGTAGAAAGCAAGCCATGCCTGAGAAACGGTCTAAGCCAACACATGCTGAGGGCCTCAGAATTACTCCATTGACTTCAGGGGACTTTTGGATCAAGCCCATATACACGGACATCAGAGATGAGCCTGATCTTGTTAGAGGAAGATCTGTTTAGAGAAGGCACGTTTACAGCACAGATCTGGAAATTCAAAATCATATGTTTAGGAGAAACACAGCTGCTCCATAAGGCTACGGCTTGCAAGCAACTACTTTTTAAATCTATATCCAGGACAGAGCCCTCTTTCAGGAAGCAAAATATTCTGCACACCAAGGTAAGAGCTCACCCCAGGCACAGGCTGCTGTTTGTCAACGTGATCCCTCCATCGGACACGTGAGGCAACTTGCAGCTTGGCAAGGATGACCCCTGGCCTCTGTTCAAACTTACCAGAGCATGAAATGACGAGACTGAGAAGATTCCAAGACGGCCCATCGCAACTTTCGTTGGACGGCTGGCAAAAGCAAGCAGTCTTTTAGGGTTTGGGAGCTCCCCTCCTTGGAGGCTAGCCAAGTAACAGCGGTATCGAAATAGGTCCATCTGGAACTGTTCGAGATTTTGTTCCCAAACAAAGATCTGTGCACAGTGAAGATTGAGGAGCAAGATACACAAGAAGAGAAGGGGAGAGGAGGAAGAACAGGGTGGTAAGTACCTTGAGAAAATTTTACTGTTCCCAGTAACACACCTTTTTCACCAATGCTGATGTCACTCAAGACACACAGATTCTCCATCTTTCTCACTGTCCTCAACGCTCTACACCCTCAAAAGGACACAAATAATAAAGTTTTCATTAGATGGAAAACAACTGTTTTCATATGCTTGGCAGAAGACTTCTCCTGGGAAAACTGTTCCTCTGATACAATGCTAATTAATAGGATTAAAATTTCATTTTTAATTTTCTTTGTATTCTAGGATTCTCTTCCGAGCAGTCCCTGAAGTTGCCGCTTTCGTGCATCAAGGACGTCTGAGAAACAAGAAGACCAAACCCCACCGAATTCCCCATACAGAGCACCCCAAATCAGATGCTGTGAGCATCCACAGAGCTCACCACACTTGAAAAAGTGTCGTACACTGGGGATAATCATCTTATCAGCGGAAGAGCACTATAATCAGCCTATGTAAGGACTTATTTAAATAATTCAAATTGCTGATAGGAAACGGTTTCAAAGTGTTTAGAAAAACCCAATTACATAAAGAGAGCGACTGCTCTACCCTCTCACTGTGACTGACAGCCTTTGAGCGAAGCCCTTTCAACAGAGTTGCGTCTTGAGAGCATCTCCAAGCTCTCTCCCCCATTCTCAGAGGCTTCCATGGGGTACAGACCCTCTTCTGTTTCGTGCATCAGGGCCCCGGCCACTCCCTGTGGTTTACATTACAGGCACATTTGACAGCCATGGTAAAAGAGCTACAAATTAATGAAGCAGGAGCCATATGTTAGTTTCCTAAAATAAGGTGCCACTGTGGCAGTGGGAGAGACATCTGCTCTAGGCTCTTTGCTTCTGAAACACAACTACATTGTCCACTTGAAGGCAGAAGGAGTGGTCCTGAGGGGCAACCAAAGCTGCAGCCACGAGGCCAGGACAGGCCCTTGTAACAGGCAGAAACCAGGGATGGCTTCTGCATCCCATCTGCCGGCAGAAAAACCAGCCTCTTCCACACTTAAGACAACAGCAACAGCAGCATTTGTCAGTCTACAACCAGCTCTTCCCTAAGGCATTTTGATGCCGTAGTCTGGTAGCCTCATCAGTCTCCTAAGGCTCTCCCTTAACCTCCCAGAGGCTAGCGAAATCTGTCGTGTGAAGGCCAGGAGAAGACAGCCCATGCTGTACCTTAGTGCAGGTTGCTTGGAGAAATGGTGCAACTAGGGCAGCCAGCACAGTTCTCCTGCCAACACACATCCTGCCTGCTCTGGGGAGTTCTGCCAGCCTACACACACAGCATAGTGGGAGCAGACAAAGGTACTGCCAATCTGAAGAAGACCTTAAATATTTGCTAGTGGCTTATTTCACATAAGCAAATGAGATTACTTGATCCAATATGGTCTTCTTCTTCTTGGAGTCCGTTACTGAGGAGAGCTGCATTTCACCCATTTTCTTCATCTTCTCATCCATGTCAATCTTCTGCTCCAGCTTTTTTATCTCTGTTTTGAGGAGCTTGACGGTGTCCTCTTTGTGATGCTGCCTGGCCACCGCGGTTGCGCAAGCTGAATGGATTGCCGTGATCCAGTTCTCCAGTTCGGTCTGGCTAGAGGTCTGAAGAGAAGGAAAGAGGGGAAAAGAAGTCAGGATCCTCTTTCAAATGGACCAGAGATTAACAAATCCAATTCCAATGAGTTTCTTTTCCCTTTGATCTTAAGATTCAAAGCCTTAAATCCACTGATGAGAGAAGTAATAAGAACGCCATCATTCTTAAGCAGGCCATTTTTAACTTAGCACTAGGCAGTCAGCACTTAGAATTACACCTATATCTGTGCTTTGCAGCTGTATGGCATTTCCCAAACAAGGTCTCAGGAATTACCTTCCTTATTCAATGTGATGCTGCCATAATTTGTAGCTCAACATTTAATGACGTTTTCTAAACCCCCAGTTCCTTAAAGCAAGGAACGTACCAGCCTCGGTGCCCTTCACAGTACGGAGAGCTTTTCCAGCATCCAACAGCTACTAACAAACTAATGGCATAAAATGTGACCATGATATATCTAAGAGTAGCTTTATTCTGATACATAGACAAAAAGGCTTTCCACTTCTGAAGGATCCAAAGCCAGGATGTAAAGACAACCTTGTTATCACTAATGGCAGGCTCATCATAATTTTTACGGCTCTGGTACCATCCCTTCCCAAGCATATTTGTGACAGTTCAGGAAAAGGGAACACTTCCCCTCCCTGGAATTGTTCAGTGTCAGGCTGGATGAGGCTTTGAGCAAGAGGTGTCCCTGCCCACGGCAGGGGGGCTGGAACTAAATGAACTTTTAAGGTCCCTTCCTACCCGAAGCATTCTGCTGTTCTATGAGATATTACGCTGGGGCATGGTATATCAGTACGTTTTTCTGGAAGAGCACTATCCCAGTTAGAGACTTTTGACGCAGAAAGAAAATATTTCAAAGCGTTCCTTTCCCAGATTTTCAAAATAAAAAGTAAATCTTCTTAGCCTTCTTACTAAACTTCATTCCTTTTTACACTAGGTTGTAAAACCACATTTACAGCCAGCTCAGAGTCGCAGCAGACTTTCTCTGAGTGTCAGCCTTTAGCAGTAATCATACTGGTATTTGGCTTGCTGCTGAAAAAGTAGCAAGGTGCCAAGCCACCTTGTTCTAATTAAACTTTCTGATGATACTTGATCTATTAATAGACAACACAGTATGACTTCTCCATTTTCTAACACAGACAAAGAAGGTCATCCTCACTTCTCTCTTGGCGGTCACACCTAACAGCAAAGGACATGGCTTACTGAAGCCAAGGAGAGATTCCCATAGAAGTCCAACTCTGGAAATCACATATGTACAGGCTGGACTTCAGGATGATGCTCACAAAACTTCTGTGGTACTGAAACAGGTGAAACACACATGTGCCAGAATGACATCACTTTCCTTAGCTCAGGTTAGAAGTCTCAAGCAGAAGATAGGGTCTACACCAGAAAGACTGATCTTTTACTCCTAATTTTCTTGTCTTCAGTTGGCACTATACAAATTATATTGTTTAAACAGGTCAGGCTCCCTGCTCAGGTAATAATACTTAAAAGCTCTCATTGATAGACAGGGGTTTACAATATCTTATTGCTATTGCTGAAGACATACTGAGCCCCTCTCGCTGAGGAATTTTGAGGAAAATAAGAGAAATTATTTGCAGAATGGGAGACACTTTGCCTACAGTCAGGTGGTGAAGCCTAGCCCCCAGCACAAAAGAGACTTGCCCTGGACTGATAAGGACACAGTATGTTTTGTTAATTCCTAGCAAATTTGTAACAGCGAGAGGTCATATTTTTATCTTATTCAGTTTTAAAATATTATCTGTATGCCGCTAGATTCAGATTTCTTTTCAGTTTTTTTCAGGGAAAAAAAGAATCTGGGATGGAGTTTAGGAGCCAAAAATTCTTCTGACAGATGAGTAGGCAAGGGGAATCACTCTGCTTCCCAATGGAAAAGATCACAAAAAAACAAGCTGCAAACATCTGATATCTAAGTATGTGGTGTCACAAGTTGCTCTGAGCTCCTGGAAAACGCATGTGACATCAGCAACTAACGGATTTGTGTAGGCACGGTAAGAAGTGACTGAGCAAGGAATCATCGTGTAGGAGGCAAGTGATGTCTCTGGGTGCAAAGCAGTGGGAAGGCCTGTTACAAGATGTCCAATAACAGTACGTATCACAAAGCAACTCTGCTTTTCTCCCCGAGTACACTGTCTCCATAGGACAGAAAGAGTCCTCTGCAGGTCTGTGGTTTCCTCCCAGCAGAGCAGCTCCTGCGGCGGGGCGGCGGGCGCGGGCAGAGGCGCAGGACCCGCGCAGGTCGGCGAC